ATCCTTACGATTTATATTGATTGTTTCCTAATATGATTCGATTGCTTATTTGTACCCTGTGATTATCATTAAGTGCTGTACCTTATGATTCTTGACAAATGTATATTTTCTTTTATGTACACTGAGAGCATATCCACCAAAGTCAAACTCCTTGTGTGTCCAATCACACTTGGCCAATAAAGAGCTGAGGTGGCGCAGTGGTTAGAGTGCAGTACTGCAGCTACTTCAGCTGACTGTTAGATCAGCGGATCAAATCTCACCGGCTCAAGGTTGACTCAGCCTTCCATCCTTCCGAGGTGGGTAAAATGAAGACCCAGATTGTTGGGGGCAATATGCTATTTAGTATACTGTCTTTGGTGTAAGCCGCCTAGAGTCCTCGGAGAGTGGGTGGCATAGAAATATGACTAATAATAAAAGAATTCTATCTATTATCTATCTATCTATCTATCTATCTATCTATCTATCATCTATCTATCTATCTATCTATCTATCTATCTCTATCTATTGTCTAATATTTGTCTATGTGTTATGACGCTTTGGATATCAGTTGCACAACAGTATCTCCTTTCCTCTCTTCCTTAAAACAGTCATTTTTTCAAATAGGCCTGGAAAAATGTGCCACTGCTTTAAAAAGTCAACTCATTAAAGTCAACACACTTCTTAAAAGAGTAGCACTATTTTATTTTGTGTGTGTTTTTCCAGGCTCATGGGAAAAGTGAAAAAGAGAAGCCATTTTAATGAATAAAAGAATGGGACTGTGGTTGTTTTTCAGCTTGCATAAGGTCCAATTCTTTTCTTTTAAATGTCCAGAGTTCTAATATCCTGTGGGCCTTGTAGAAAGTGTTCCTTTCACAATGCCAGCATCCTCTCTGCACATTTTAGCCTGGTTTGAGAACAAGTTGCTTTATTTTGATTTAGGCCATTTCCTTACTTGCTTTTTACATTCACATCAGAACGCTCAAGCGATCCTATCATTTAGCCTTGATTCACAATGCTGGCCTTGTCTTGTTCCGGGCCCACACTTTTAAAAGACTTAAACTGATCAACTGCTGGAAAATAAAGACTTTTTTTCCTCCCTGAAAGGCCAGAGTAAGTAAACTTTGCTTCATTTTCACTCCTCTTTAGGGGGGAGTTACATTCATATGACAAATCCTGCCTTTATCCATTGTTGATAGAAACCCAGGTGCCCTGTATCTTATTATGTGAACTGGCAAACACACATCGTTGGTTGTATCTTTTCCTATGATCACCATCGAAGGAGACCGTACATTCTTCTCCCTATCCCAAATGTAAAGAAAAGACAGGACACCCTATTATTACCAGCATATGTGCGCGCATGCAAGTGCATGTACACATGTTTGCATATATGTGTGCACCTTCAATTCAATCTTGATTCTTGGCAATTTATGGCAACCCTGGACAAGTCTCTGCAGTTTTTCTTGACAAGATTTAAGAAGTGGCTTGCCATTCCATCCTTCTCAGGGCTGAGAGAGAATGACTGGCTGAAGGTTACCCAGTTGGCTTTGTGACTAAGGTAGGAGTAGAGCTTCATTTCTGGTGGGGTACCTTAACCACTACACCAAACTGGCTCTTATTACTATCACTGCAAATCATTATATTAGTCCTGCAAGAACCAAAGAAACTTTGTCTTTTTTTATCCTAATCAGTGACTAGTGCCAAACTACTGTGTTTCCCCGAAAATAAGACCTCCCTGGATAATAAGTCCTCCCCCTAAAAATAAACCGTCCCCCCAAATAAGCCCTCCCCCGAAAATAAACCCTCCCTGGAAATATTTAACCACATGCACAGCCGGTTCCCGCCATTTCCTCTGATTAGGGTTAGGGAGACAGAGCTGGAAATCAGTTAAGATGGCAAGAGGATCCCCATCTTGCTCCATGTGCTCCAAAATAATAAGTGTTCCCCGAAAATAAGGCCAAGCGCTTATTTGGGGATTTTTTAAAAAAATATAAGACAGGGTCTTATTTTCAGGGAAATATGGTATAATGTTACAGGTAGCCATTTTCAGACATTTTCACAGGCAAATATCACCCTCCATTGCTCTTAAGCCAACCTAAAATTTCCTGCCCCAACTAGCCATTTCTAGTCTACCTCTCTCAGTCCTGGGAAGTGGATAATGCAACCAACAACTGATGCTACTGTTACTGGGTACTTCAGGACAAAACCACCAATTATTTCCCCTGCCTATTGGAAGGCAAAATGTTTTCCTAACATGGGGTGGGTGTTTGGGTGGGCACTTGCAAATTCAGCTACCTCCTCCATTGCTCAGATAACAGGTTTCAGGCTCAGAAGTGTTCCATGCCTCTAGCTATAAGCTGAGCTATTTCTGAACACAGATCTAGCTTTTCTGAAAGTGCACTAAGGACTGTCCAAAGATAGCCCAGCTGAACAGACACAGAAGGGAAAGAGCAGTCAAGAACAAGTAAGCTCAGACCTCAGCTAGCATTACAAAGGAATGACAGTGCTGGCAACAAGTCCAGATCTGTCTTTGCAAATGGCAGCAACCAGAAATAAATAGCCCATAGACGGCCATGGAATCAGACTGAAGTAGGCAAAATGATACTGCCTCCTCCGCCTCTTCCTGTAATAAAAACAGTAAACATTACGGCTATGTGAAACCCTTTGTTGACAGAAGCAGAAAATCTGTAAGGTATTTGAAGGTGACAGAATCAAAAAACACCAGCCCTGTTTCCTGGTTTCAATCAACCAGCACAAGCATAGCACATTTTTTAATAATCACTAAACCTTTGTTTATAGAAATTTGCAAATGTTATGAGAAGTACTTCAACATTACATGCTCTCTCTCTCTCCCCCCACCCCTTCTCTCTCTCCCTCCCTCCCTCCCTTTCCGTCTCCCTCTCCCTCTTCCTCTCCCTGTTATCTCAGTTCTCCTGCAGAAGAGGCAAAACTGATAAGGAAAGACCATTTCCAACAACCAAGGATTCCTCATGTGGCCCATAGGATCTCAAGTGCTTTATCCCTGATTAGTAACCATATATAACCAATGAATCATGTCAGATTGTGCCCATAGCAAAAATCATACAGGGAGAACAGCAAAAACACTGTTTGGAACTTAGATTTGGAACCCAGAAAAGTTACCTCAGCTGCCAGCTGCAGATGAGGTGAAAGCAGTAGCATGAGGCTATACCATATATATATTTGAGGAAGATGAAGACCAGTGCAACATTTTGCAGCATCAGCCAGCCACTTCTGTGAAGGCATGTTAGCAATGCATAGAGGCTTTATATTACTCTACCACTGACTGGGTGACTGGGTAAAATGCAAGGAAATGGCCTAAATAGATAAGTACCGAAAATGTTCTTAAATTATTGTACTGGTTTTCTATTGGAATCATTTGGGACAATCATTTTGGGACAATCATTTTGGAGCAGTTTCTTTAAGGGATTGGAGCATTTTTTGTATGAAAGATGAAGTTGTGAGTCCTAATGAACCTTGGAGAAGATATATTCCCAGGAAAATGTGACTAGAATTTGCAACGTTAGAATCAGAGACAGAAATGTGTTGCATAAATCAAATCCATCATCAAGCAAGAATGACCAAAGATGGGGACGGAAGGAACCGCAGAGAGGTATTTCCTGTAACATCCCAAAGCTTTTTAAAAAAAAAATAAAATAAATGAATGAAACATACGGAATCAGTAACTGGAAGCTTGATCTAGAGATGCAGCTTCTAGTTGGATTTATTGTCTCTTCTGATTCTAAAATGGCTCTCCCAACAGATCAAGAAGGTAACTGGGCTGGTTTGGAGATTTTTCTTACAGCAAAATGAGATAATATATTTCTGGAGTGCAAGAATAGTTTGTGACACTTGGTGCTACAGATGGAGGAAGGAGTTTGACTGTTGAAGATTTTTGATCTAACCACTGCTGTGCTAATTTAACACCAATAAAAAGAAGATTTATTTTATCATGACCACAATGGTTAAATGGCATGTTAACATACTATAAAAAGAAAGTTGTGTTCAGATCAAATAATCAAAGGAGTTTTAGCTTATTCTCACCTTCTGCTTTCAGGATGAATAGGAGCACGAAATAACACCTGAATGAAAATTTTCTTTTCTTTTCTACCTGAAACCTATTCCCCTACTTGGGAATCCACTCCCATCTTTTCTTTTCATATCTTATCCTATCACTTGTGCTTGAACAGGTAAGTGCAAGTATGATGCTGGAAGCAAATCCAAAGTTGCTTAAATTGTGGATCCATCAGTCTGAACTTCCTACCCAAGGCCTTCGTTCAAAAAAAAAAAAGCACTTAATCCACAAAGTGTGCGGAGTTGATACTATCAAGGGAAAATGGCACAGCTAAGTAATGTAAAATATTATCTCGTTAATCTTCCTTTCCTGTGGACAGATCTAGATTCTTGTCCTGAAGTCCTAATCTGGTAGCTTTTGTGGTCTTGCAAGCTGTCAGATCAATAGGGGACTTGAGTGTCATTGTAGACATGAGAACAATGGACTGAGGGAACACACACACACACACACACACACACATCCTTTCAGATTACAAGATATCTGACTGCCCTGACTTCCACCTATGGGACATGAGCTCTGCCATGTCCTCCTGCTTCTTCTGATGACTGGAACCTTGGGATTCTGACCCGAAGTTCTGCCTGGATGAATGAAGCAAGAAGACATTCCAGAAGCTTGTCTGAAGTGACCTCCAGTGTGAACTGGAAAAAGGCAGCCAAGAATGGTTGGCTCTTGTAAGAGTAGATGCTGAGGCTCTGTGGAAAATAAGAAATTTGAATGAATAAAGCAGTGGTCATAGATCTCCTGTAGGCTGTTCTAGGCAGAGGGTCTCAGGGATAGTTCCTGAGTAACCGACAAATAACTTAGTCCATTTTTGGCCCACATCTCCTCTGATTCCTTGGTCTGTTCAGTCACAAAATGTACTCAACATTCTTTAGCTACTGTTCCTATGTAACCTTAACAATGTGCACAGAAAAAGTCATGACACACCATCCAAAGGCCAGAATATTATTTCATTTACACTGTTTCAGTTTCTTCCACCCTATCCCCGAAGCCAACAGTTTTCCCTTGTGTGTGTGGCTCTTATCTCAATCTCCCACCCTTTTCAAGCCACTTTTCTCTGAAAGATTTTTTTTTCCCCTCCACTGAGGAGGCCCCGTGCGGACACTTCAGGTTGTGGGTCTCTGCCCTGCAGCACTGGTGCTCCATCCTTCGAATTATCTGAAAGAAGCAAAAAGGAGAGGTTGGTAATCCATGTATATGACTTTCCTCTGCATCTGCTTTGGAAGAACAAGTAAGTGTGTGTGCACATGCAGGGGAGGGGGAAGGGGACCTGCTTGGCCCCACAAATGAAAACATGATGTGTAACCATCATAAAAACAGCAGCAGCAATAGCAACAGATAAAGAAAAAATCTCAAGGAAAAGAGACACCACCCAGGGATCTGTCAGCAAATTCGCACCCCCAGTCTTCCGTATTATGTTCTTCTCCCTCAGATGTCTTGACTTCACTTATTTAAAGGTTTTCGGGCCACCACTGAGGACTTCATTTTTCCTGTTCAGGAAAGGCGAGGGTAGATTGCACATACTTAGCTGGGAGCCCACAAGCGAGGAGATCAAAGCAGATTTCAACTCATACATGCTCAGAACATCTTGTGCGGAATCTGAATAGCAGTGGGAGGAAACCAATAAATGAGCCAACTGCTGGGTTTGAATCCAAAATCCATAGCTGGCAATGCTTTTATTGGAATCACTGAAGAATAGTCCAAAAGGTGATACCCAGGTGAGTTTTTAGGGGAAACCTCTGTCCACACACCTTATATTCTAGTCCACCAACAACTAAGGAAGCCCCCTGGTTATCTCTGGGCCAATCTTTCTCTCTCAGTCCAATCAGGTTCCCAGGATAGTTGCTGTTGGGAGAAATTGGAGGAGGAAGTACTCTTTGTGCTTGCCTTGAATTTTTAAATGAAAGGGAGGACAAATTGCTAAACAAATATTCTTCCTTAACTCACAAGCTTGCATAATTTTTGTCTTTGTCAGTTATAGAACTATTACGGTAGGTCTAAGGATGAATGTTGGTTTTTCTTTCTTCCTCAGAAAGTCTCAATTTTTCCCAAGACAAAGTGAGCCGTTTGGACAGGACCTTAAAAATATCTTTCCAAGTGCACCTACAAATTCCTGGAGTGCTTTTAAAAAGTGGCCGGCATAGCATTCAATCTGCCTTCCTCCACTCCTATTTTTTATGGTCCTGTGAACAGTGTTAATGAAGCTACTTTTAATAGTCTTGCGCCCTGTTGGTCTTTGTGAGAAATCACTTTTTTTTTTTTTAATTTCTAGCCGGTTCAAACTGAAGGTGGTTTAAGTCTCAGCCAGCAAAATACTTGGTTATTGCTGTTGAAGCATTGCAGAAACTGAAATCCTATACTTACCCAGCCAAAGTAAGCGCAATGTGGCACTTCTGGGGAAAGGAGCCTCTAGATAGTTGTGCTGGGAGAATTGCCTCCTGGTCCTCGCATTGTGGTGCTAAACACAGATGATTTTTCACCACCTGTTCAAGAAATAGTGTTTTTTTTTTTTAGATTGATCTTCAACGGGGTTTGAAGATTATTAAAACGTCCCCTGATCAAACTTTTTTAAGCATTACTTTTTAAATAGAAGTAACTTTTGGCCAATGGAACCTTTGCTCTGGGAATACAGAATTTGCAAATATGTGGTACCCTATTTATTTGAAGTACTTCTGTTACATATATCCTTTACATACTGCTCAGATACTCAGCTATTGATAAAATGTAGATCCAAACCAGCAATCTCTCTCCCTCTCTGTTTTCCCCCACTCTCTCTCTCTCATAAAATTTTATTAAAAGTTTTTTCAAATGAGTGATTTCTCAAAGGTACAATTAGGACCACAGTATTACCTACTACTGCTCCAGAAAACATCAGAAAAATTTACCATGTTTTTTTTTCCCCCATTATAAAAAGCTCCATTTCATTCATAGCCACCCAAAAGTAAAACCTGAATATCTACAGAGATTCTCAGCCATCCAGGTCATGGTTGTCACAGAGGTGCTTTTGCATGGGGCAAAAAGTCCAGTTGCCTCTTGGAAAAGCACCTTTGGGATAAAATCTGAATAGTTATCGCCTTTGGGGTAGCAGCCATTCTCCCTCTCTCTCTGCCTTAGACTGGAAGAGGGAAAGAGTGAACCGCCTCTACAATCTTGCCAAAACAAAACAAAACAAAACAAAACAAAACAACCTGGACCAGTTTATGAAGCCCACTTCCCCCCCCCCAAATAAATAAATCAAGACTGTGTCCAAAACCCTCCTCACACACGCGTGCGCGCGCACACACACACACATAAATATTCCATTGAATTGGGCAGAGGAGAGCAGTCTTAGTTTTGACCAGTAAATATTGGGTTCGGATTTCCAATACAGTCATCCATCCACACAGCGCTCTGGACCGAAACGCGCCCGCCCGCGGAATTTTAGCTGAGATTTGTGTTCTATTTCAATAGAGATCGATTAGGCAGAAGGTCCCCCCTCCCGGCTGGGCCTCGTTCTGTTCCAAAAAGCAGAGCGCGCTCAGCAGCCTTGCCTCTGCTAGCGGTGCCGAGATCGCATTACCTTGCCTTGCAAGGCAGTTTGCAAACGGGGCGCGCCGTCTCTCTCTCTCTCTCTCTCTCTCTCTCTCTCTCTCTCTCTCTCACACACACACACACACACACACACACACACACACACACACACACACAGAGAGTGCGGGCGCACATACCGACAGACTAAATTAATCCAGCGCTCCCTCGTTCAATGTGTAAACCCTGCTAAATCATCAATCGTGGCACGAAATATTTTCAATCCATGAAGGGAAAGTTTATGGAATGGGAGGAGAGGGACAGATTTATCGGTTACTGACCAGAGTTTGGGAATGGGCCGTCGGCTGCTGGCTCCACTCGCTGGACATGGCCAAACCCTAGGAAAGGCGGTGGCTCTAAGATTTTGGGACAGGGTCACTGGTGGACAAGTGGGGGCCGGGGACAAGCCATAGGTGTTTTTTTTTCCCTCTGGGGGGGAGGAGACACTTGAAAATATTCTTGTCTTTAAATGCCGAAATTCTACTTTCCTTCTCATCCGTGTTTTTTTTTTTTTCTTCCTTTCGAGGGTTTTCAATCCTATTTCAGAAGTGTCTGCGAACCCTTCGTAGGTAATAGGCTTAGAATGAGTAGGAATCGCACTGAATAGCACGGAAGGAATCTGGGAAATGCTTTTTAACTAAATACAAATTCTCTTTGGAAGGAATAAAGTTTGGAGCCTGTATTTTTCCAAAGGAAAAAAAAAACCCAGCCGTATCTATCGCGATTTAGGCACCCCGCTCAGGGATAGATTTGGCGCACCGGATGGAGATGGGAGGGATTTGGTTCCTTAAAATATGTACCACGATTTACAAGTAAGTACGACTTACTTCCACCAGATTGACTAAATTTTGGAAACTAGACCCATAGATGTCCACTAAGCTTGCTTGTCAACCAGCCCAAAGAAGTAAAAAATGGCCCGCACCTACCCAACGTAAAGGGGGATTCTTTTGCAAGGCGCCACATGTTAAGGAAGGAGGACTGCTCTTTCCTATTATGCCTTGGGTAAAAGGAACGGGGTTGCGGTGGAGGAGAAATACAACCTGGAGTAGTGGTAGTAATCCACCATTCGAATAGAGGTCGGGGTGCCCTCCCCCTTCCCCCCCGGCCAGCGAAATTGTCTGGCAATCCCCGGAAGCACCCCAGAAGTGCGGCTGAGCTGGGGGGGGGGGGGGGAGGGCAGAGGAAAAGTAAACCCGAGAAAAGGCTGGTTTGTTTGGTTGTGTTGCGTCCTTTGATAGGGTACAACAGTCTGGACTCGCCGTTTTGTTTTGCAGCGCACCAAACGCCCTGCTTTCCCCCCTAACACGACCTCAGCTAAAATACATTGGCAGTCAACTAAAATGAATGCCCTCTTGAGAGCTGGCAAGGAACTCGGGAACGGTTGGAGGCCTGGTATACTGCTGTTGATGGCCTCGCGGCCTTATTTTATCCCACGGGCTTGAGGATGAAGTGTTGGGCGGTAAGGAGACGGCTCTGCCAACAAGGATGGAGACCTAAAAAGGCGACCTCTTTCCGACAGCCCAAGCTTTCCTTTCTTTCCCACCCCCCCCCCTTTCCAGTTCTCCTCGAAAGCTGCACATTTTTACACCTTTGGGGGGAAATGAGGAAGGGGTGGCACGGGACAACCCTTCCTTTTCAAAGTTTTCCTCCTTTTCTTTTTTTTTAACCATCTTCTGAAATCAAGACTTCGGGCGTGATGGCCAAGAACATTTTGTGCTTCGGAGCCAATTAGCGATATCTACCATCTTTGGCCCATAACGACGACAACAACAAAAAAGACACTACCCACCCGTGATGTTAAAGAGAATCCTGACACAATGTGCCATTCAGCCCACATGTAGGGAAGGGAGAACTGTCTAACCCATTATTAAGTGTGGATAAAATAAAAAGATTTTTTTTGGGGGGGGGGCACAAATACAATTTTAAGTTCGGGGTGCCCTGCCTTCCCCCCCCCCCAAACCTGGAAGTTGTCTTGTTTGGTACGGTTTTCCAGACACTGTTGAGTTGATATTGTAGCCATGAAGTCACACTCGATATACATGCGGTTAGATCTCTAGCATGAAAAGGGCTCTTTGGATCCTGGTATCAGGGACTAATAAGCAGCCCATCATAGGCAAAGTTACCATCATCATCCTCACTCTTACCTTCACCGTCTCTTTATATTTGTTTCATCTCCATCTACCAGAAAAGGTTGGGTTCAGTGCATGGTACTTTTTCTTCCGCATTTTGTCCAGTAAGGGCTGAAATATGATGAATGATCCTGATTCACCCACCATTCGCTCCAGAGTAAGAAGGGCTTCCCTTTCAGAATCTCCCTGACAGGTCATCTTATAATGCACACATTGGGGAAGAGGTCCTGGTTATGTCCACGAACCCAAGGTGTATGTTGCGTGTTCTGGATTGAGGATTTCATTTGGGATTTGGAATTTAGTTCTGTCTTATTTTCTACCTTTCCTGTAAATCGTCGTTGATGATGGCGCTGAGATGATGATGATGATGATGATGATGATGATGATGATGATGATAGAAAATGGGAGCAAAGAATATTTCTTTTCCACCCCACATCTTTTACATATCAGTAGACCTGAGAAACCATTCTTCTCCTCTTTTACCAACTGCAAATTCTCGCAAAGCTTCTTAACTAGTGAATAAAGTGAAATGCCACATTCTGGGCTATTCAAAAGCAACAGATAAAACTTGAAGAGATGCTAGGAATGCTGTGGGATCTCAAGGCTATTTTCCCATCAGCCTTTTTCTTACTGAAACATTTAAGAACACTTCCGTTTTAAATGCATTTCCTTGGGTGGTGGGGGGAGTCCTCTTTTAAAGGACTTTTAAATGTTTTCTTTTTTACTTTATATTTTCATCTTTACGATTTTTTAAAAAAATGCCAGCCAGTTCAATTATTGATTTAGATTGGAGTGGGTGGGTGGAGGGAGAGGATCAAGGAGTAGCACAAACACTGCAAGTTCAACTTTACCTCTACTATTTAATCTCCTTTCCAAAAACAAGAAATCTGGGGAAAATGCAAAGAATATTCTCTGCTGGAAAGTAGAACATGAAATAAACGCTTCCAAAATAACAGCCCAATTCAATTCGGCTGTGAGATCCACTCCTTTCACGGCAGCGTCTTAAATTATCTCCCAGTTTTCCTCATATACAAAACTTAGCTGGGTGATATTTTGTTTGCCCTAACTAACAGATTTATATTTCTGGCAACAGATGGAAACAATTTTGATTTTTAACTGCTGAACCTGAGAGTTACGAAAACAGGAGAACACTTACTGGTTGCTTCTTTCTTCTTTACAGAAAGGGGAGGGGGAGCTTGAGGGGAGGCTGCAACCTGACATCACTTCTGCCCTTGATAAGGCTGAACTGTTTGTCGGCAGATCTTTTAAACATCCATCTAAGACTGCAACTTGATAAAGACCTGCGCTAAACACTAGCCACATTTTTCCTTCCCCCTCCCATCTGTCTCTCTCTCTCCCTCTCCCCATTTTAAATTCTCTTCGCTGATGAAAAGTTCTGAGACTCTCAAAGTCTGCAACGATTTTCTAAACCTTTAGTTGATAATAATCAGCGCATTGCCTTTCTCCTCACATTCAGCATACCTATGGTGGCTTCAAGTATACCCCTACCTAAGTAAGGAACCTCTTGCTCCCTGGCTGACAATGTTTAGGGGTGTTTAGAATTCTAGCTTAAAACTGTCAAATACATCCAATCCCCCAAACTGTGCACAAACTCGCTGCAAAGTCAAATGACTATGTCTTCCCATATACAAAATACTCACAACGTTATTAATTTTTTTTTTAAAGTATATACCTCCTTCAGGCGGTAAGGCACATTTTCGGTAGGACCAGTTACGTGTTAACTTGAAAATAAAACCCACTGCGCTCAATATGGCAAATAATTTCCA